CAAAGCACCATGTTTCAGGGGCAGGCATCCGGCCCACCGCTGGTTAGGATGCCCATGTCCCACACTGGAATGCCTGGGTCTGACGTTCCACTTCAGGTCATGATTCCCACTTCCTGCTCATGGCCCACCTGAGGGGGCGGGGCAGCAGTGATGGCCCCCAAAGCTGGGCCCTGGCCACTCACGTAGGAGACCTGGGTCAAGCTGCTGGCACCTGCGGAGTGGGCCAGTGGACCAGAGCACTCTCTGGGTTTCTCTCTGCTTCTCAAGTAGAAATCTCACTCCTGAATCAGATCTTGGAGAACGAGTAACTTGTGAAGCAGTGTGGGACACAGAGCTGGGATGGGAGTTGGGAAGGTGCTTCTGGAAGGAGACCACAGCGGGAGCAATGGCACAGAAATGCAGATGGCACTGTCCCTTCCTTTCACCTACCAGACTGACCCTAAACGCCTGGAAAGCAGCAGCTGCTCCCAGTCTCTCCCGTGCAGTCTCCCTTCACTCTCCTCCTGGGGCAGGGTGTGGTCACTAGCAGGCTTTTGTGAAATAACTTCGATTATCTTGTAATCCTCTTAAAAAAATCTAGAAAAATGGACAATGTCCTTTTAAACTGTCTTCTCAAAATATGTCAGGAAGAGCTCAGAATGAACCACAGGCTGCAGCTGGTACTAAACATTGTTTGGTGCGAGTTAGTTCATCCTTGTGAGGGGGTTTCATTCCATTTCCCATTACCACAGTGGCAAAAGGAAGCAGGCAGGGAGGCTTAGCATCCACGGAACCAGAGCTAGCCTGGACTCCGGGTCTCCTCCGCTGTCTGCTTACCAAGCCTGGGCCTTTGCCTATCAAACGTACACACTGTGCATCTACCTCTTCTAACCGCATCTCGCAGCTAGAGGGAACGCTCCCTGCATTTCTTTATTACATTTTTTTTCATTGCATAGACTTCTGGCTACTAAACCGTCATAACCCGGCAACCCGGAGTGAACAGATCATCCTGGCTCCTTCCAACCCACGAGCGGCACCTGCTGGACCGCCAGGGTAACTGCACTTTCCACCTGTCCCAGACTGGACTTGTTTGTTCTGTTTTGTTGGAGTAAGTCCCTAACAAGCCAGAGTATGTCAGCGAGTTGACAGATTGAGGGTTACGAGAGAAATAGTTCACCTGGCCAAATATGATCCTCTCAGCTTTTTCTGTGCCTACTTTGGAAACCCTTCCGCAAAAGCAGTCCCCAGACTGAAGACAGACCTTGCGCTCATGCAGCTGTTGGAAGGGACGTGAAGTGAGTCGCGCATGCTCTGTGCAGGGTGCACAGACAGCCTCCCGGGAGTGCAGCTGGGGCACCTTCCGCAGATCTGCGGGCTGTGGCTGCTGACCTGCCCATGGGCCGCTCTGGCACCACGTGGACAGACTCTGGGAGACAAAAGGGGTTCTGTGCACCTGGGTCAGCTCACAGCGAGTGGCAGGAGAGTCATGTGGCTGTGATGGCCTGTCTGATGCCCGACCTGAGCGGGGAGGGGAACAGCGACCCTGTGCCCTGAAGTTGCTGACCCTAGCTCATGGGCCCCGTTCCCTGTGTGGCCTCCTGTGCCTCTCACCCTTGCCGTCTTGCTCCTTCTGGTGATGGAGAATGGTCACTCTTGGCACAGGATCCCTAACACCACATTTCCTTCAGACCCAAAGTACAAGCTCCTGGCCTCCTTGACTGTCCTGGTCCCAATCCCAGCAGCTAAGGCAGCTCATGGCTCTGTAGGCCATGAGCCCAACGCAGGCCCAAATAGGGGGAATCCACGGAGCCAGGGAGGTGAGAATGTCTCTCTCCCTGGCCCCACCCCCTAGTTCTCTTTTCCCAGAATCCCCTTCTACTGATTTCCAGCCTGCCAGGGTTGCAAAGTGCCTTGTCTCCCAAAGGTCCATCTGGTGGCCACTCGGTCTCCAGCGTGGAGATGCTGGGAGGCAGGGGGCTCCTTAAGAAGTAGAGCACAGTAGGAGGTGATTAGGAACTGGGCTGCTGGCATTCTGCAGGGATACAGCTAGTTCTAACGCGACACTGGTTTGTTCTGGAAAGATGGCTGTTTGAGGCTAGCCTGATGCCTCCCCCCGCCCTGGGCTTCCTGCATGCCCATGGGATGCTCATGCCTGCACTCCCATATGATGCCAGCTGCCGTGAGGTCCTTCCCAGAGCCGGCAGGGACTGCTGCTTGCACTTTCAGCCTCCAAAGCTGTGAGCTAAATCAACCTGTGTTCATTTTAAATGGCCCAGCCCGGGGTATTTTGTTCTATCAACAGAAAACAGATGAATAGGGAGCTCATCCTGGGAGAAGCCTTCCCTGACAGACACAACCGAGGTAGCGGGACAGTCCTGCTGCTCTTGGGGCTCGCCGCACTTTCCCGTCATCATGTTCATCAATGCTTACTGTGAGCAGGTCCAGTGGTCAGTCTATCTGCTCGATTTGCAGTATGGGGAGCAGAGACCACTGGGGTCCTGTTCTCCATCTTTCTTTCTCTAGTGCCTCACCCAGCGCCTCCTCCCTTCAGTGCTCACCAAATACTGTGAATTAAAGGAAGGACAGATGGGCCCTGCCGGGTACTGTTCACAGACATAGCCCACTTCATCCAGATCCACAGCTAATAACAGCCTGGGGTCGGGCCACTCAGACCCTGTAGACCATGATCCTATACTCTGCTTTCTAAGATTTCACGTACTGCTGGACAATTTTCTAGGGCCAATAGCTCTGCACATCCCTCCGAGCCACTTCCCAGTGCTCTGACCCCTGGCACCTCCTGCCACACTGCACTCCCACTGGCTCTGGCTGCCATGTTGCCCAGCAGCTGCACACTGTGGTCACTCCATGGCCAACGCCTGCATGAGGAAGGCAGTTCCTATAGCCTTCAATGGTGCTTCATCTTGAATAGAAAAACCCGAGAAGATCTAGTGTTTATGTATTTGCTTTGAACGAGGGACTCATTGCACTCCTAGCTCTAGTTAAATGAAGTCCACCAACCGACTTATGAAGAACCCCTGCCTTGTTCCTTGTAACTTGAACACAATAGTGCATAAACCACAAGGGGAATGTGATGCTTAGAGGGGAGGATGTGACAAATGCCCAGTGCACAGCTGATATGCAGGAAGCTTCAACACGATCCCTTCTCGTGCCAAGGCCATGGTCCTCCTTTGCGACTGGGACTGAGTGGACAGGAAGGGAGCAAGCCTGAGGAAGGCTGCCCAGTGTCGCTCTAGTGGACACATCTGCCTCCCTTTTCTCTTGGGTTTGAACTGTGCATGGCTGCTCCCAGGGGAATCACATCTCCTGCCTTTCTGTGCATATACTTGTGCTATGGAATTAGGATTTGGCCAATGAGGCGAGTGGGAAGTGCTGCCTGCGACCTGCAGAAAGGGTCACTCGGCTTTCCCCCGTCACTATCCTGAGAAAAAACACATAGTAGTCGGAGCAGGAGTGCCTGTTTCAACCACAAAGTGGATGCAAATGATGGAAGATACGGAACAAGAAAAAAGGTTCCTGGGTCCTTGGTTAGGCTAGCACGGCTCTCTTCCTGATGGATTTCATCTACTGGAGAGAGAAATCAGTGCTTCTGAGTTCTTCTGAGTTTTCATTCACTCCCAGAAAACAACATCGTGCTGACTGATGACAGGATGTATCTGTTTAGACAAGGCTGCTTCCTTGACAATGACCAGAAGTTCACCACAGGTCCTTGGTAAGCTTCCAGACTCCCTCTGCAGAACAGACTGCCTCTAGGGCACTCTGCACTTAGGAATCAGGGCTTCCGAGGTCTGCCACTTCTGGGGAGCCTGCTGGCCATGACAGTGAGCCATTAGACCACTCCAGCAGAGATGGAAAGGAACTGGGCCCAAGAAGCTGCTGCATAGCAGCTCTTACATCAAAGCAGAGCCATTTAGGGACAAAACACACTTGACCCAACTGTTAAAGCACATCATTCACTTTGTGGCTCTGACACCTGCTGTGGTGAGACAGTCTCAGAAAGTAACTTGCTCATTTGTGTTCACATCTGAGTGTGAATCTGAGGCTGAGCAGATCAAGAAGAGGTGTTGAAGACCAAGAGTGGTGCTCTCAAAAGGAAGCCCACCTTCCAGCTGCCCGTCCTCAGGCTCTCTGTGGCTGCCAGCCCACATGGCCTCACGTTGTGACACAAGTATGTGTGCTGTGATCGGGAGCTTGGCCAGAGGCAGAGCGACACAGCACTCAGCTAGCTGCTGTGGTTATCAGTGAAGGAAGCAGTGCGATGAGACATGCTGGCATCAAGCTCCTTACAAGTCAGCACTTAAGAATGGCAGTGTTGTAGAACTGGATATACATATAGATTCACATGGTTTGAGGTGGCATACACATGTACACATGCATTCCATCCCAAATCATGTGAATCAGAATCTCAGAAGAGAATAGGACCCAGGGGTTTGTGTTTCAGCAAGGCACCATTGCATGCCCTGAGGCATACCTTTGGTGGGGAGCCACAGTTTGGATGTAACAGGAGGACATAGCATATAGTATCACTTTTAGTTTTGGGATAAAAGCAATGTGAACTGCTACTTGCACTTGCTTTAAACTTCAGCTGAGCCTGCTAGGCACAACAAACTTTAAAACACAGTCTTTTTTGCCTTCTTTTATCGCCTACTGACTTGATAGGGGCTGGCCAATTCCCTTGGAGGAAATTAAACTTGGAGACATTTGATAAATATTCTTTGTTCATATGAGTCTTATACTTTTCCCTAAAGCTTTCAGTCCTTTATGAACCTATTCTCTCATGAAACACAAGCTAGCCTTCTTTATTTAAAGTCCATATAAAAGAGGGAAATGTATTTCCCACTCCTTTCCCTCATCCCCTGGGCCTCTCCCAAGCCCAACCAACCGAGCCCCAGCTCCATCACTGTTATCAGATACCTTGGGCTGCACGGGGGCTGTGGTGCTTACAGAAATGGTGATGGCTTCTGGAAACAGCTCCAAGATGTCAGACCTGTCTAGTCCCTTACCTGCAGTTCCCAGGCTCAGCAGCACAGCCACCCAGAGGACCCAGAAGAACATGAGGATGGCAAATGTCCACAGTGGCTGCCAGAACAGGAACGGAGTGCTGCGGATGGCTTTATGCGTGACTTGGAAAATCTCAACTGTCAGCCCTATTCTCTTCCTGAGCACCAAAATCAGGGTGAGCAGCACGGCCTGGTGAGAGAAGCGACACATGATTCAAGGTAACAGAATGTCAGGTACAGGGCAAAACAAATCCCACTATCTTGCATCCCTGCCAACAGCTCTGCGAAGAAGCTCTCCACTTCTGTTGCAATTGGACACAGCAATGTGCAAACCCTTCCTTGAGCCCCTGTTGTGTGCTGGCCCCTTGTGCCCTGGCTTACAGGTAGAATGGGCAACACGGGGTCCTGCCTTAAAGACTCCTGATGTTTCCAGACAGCAAGAGAACAAAGTGAGAATGACACTTCAGGACACTCTGCAAGGACGCCCATTAGAAGGGATGGGTCACCTCTCATCCACTGCTTCCCCCAATCTTGACAGAGATCAGTGTCACCTGGACTGGGACGAGGCTGCCTGGACGAGGCAAGCAGGCAGCAGAGGTCAGGACCAGACTCTGGCACTTCTGGGCTGAGCAGCTTTAGGGAGCTGAATTTCCACTTGTCCTCCTAGCTGATGCCCTGGGGTGAGTCACCCCAATGCACCTGTTGCTGCTGGAGGCTATGTTGAAACTGCTTAGAGAGTGTCCACAGGTGGCTCTCATCTTCTAGAAAAGTGTCCTCTAGTTGGCCTGTAAGGCAGTTGTGGGGACCTCAGGCATAGACTCTGCCCAGCTGGTCCTGGTAGTGGGCAGGGGTCTCTCTGCAATTCAAGCCCCACTAACTGAGGCTATCTGAGTCACTGCTGGGTTGTAACATGGGAAGGCAGAGAGGTACAAGTTGAGATGAACAAGAAGAGATTAGAGGCAAGGCAGGTGACCCCCTTTTCCCTCTGCTCTAGGGAAGGGCAGTGAGGGAAAAGGAAAAGAGTGGCTCATCACCTCCTTCCCCTTGGAGGCCAAAGCTGGACAAGGGTGACTGCACTTGGCTTTCTTTTCCGATGGGCTTGTTCCTGAGCTGTACAATGCCTTGTGGGAGGAGGAGCAAGGCTGGCTAGTGGGGATCTAAAGCTGGACCCCCAATGGCTTCCCAGGGCATGGCCTCCCCTTTGCTGTACAACCTGCTGAGTTCTCCAGCAGAGCACCAGGCTCTGCCCTGCGGGGGGCATTAGGACCTCGCCCCACCCACTTTGGGTTACCTTTGAGCTTCCATGATGGATATGCCCCTTGAGAGAGGGAGGCCACACCCCCATAGACAACCTGGAGATAGCATTCACAGTGCACAGATGAGGAGGCCCAGGCATGTCTCAGGCTTACACAGTGAGTGGTGAAGCACAACCTGCAAGGGCTGGGCCCCCATCATACATGCCACAGCACCCTGTAGCCCTTCATCTTATCATGGGACATGGGCTATCTCGTGTTTTATGGCTGGCTGGCTGCATTGCCAAGTGCATAGCCCTGTACACAGTAGGAGCTGGGTGAGAGTGGTGATGCCCAAGAATCTGGGGCTCTAAAGTTGAGAGTGGAGCTGGCTCACTCTGCCCCTGAGGGCGTGGCTGCATCCTGCCCTCCCCACCAGTCACTATGGGGTTCTAATGGACATGGGTGAAAGCAACTCCCTCTCCCACGGCCTCACCTAGCACTTCCCTTACCAGTGAAGAGGAGAGACCCCAACATCCGGGAACTGAAGCACTTCTCCAGGGAGAGAAAACCAGCCGTGGCTGAGAGACTTGCTGAGCTTGGGGAAAGCTCCTGGTGTCATTTGTCTATGGAGTGCCCAGTAGGGCCACTCTCCAGCCCTGATGACCAGCAGTCACCTGAACCCAATCCCCGACCTAGCCAAAAGGACTTTACTGGGTCACAGTGGCCAACAACCAGTTCCTGCAGTCTCTGCCTGTTTTCAATAAGCAGGTGCTCTGAGGACGTGGCAGGTTCTCTGAGAACCAAAATAACCCCACAGGCCAGCAGGTTTGGAAACAAAGGGCTCTGTGAGCTCTGGAGAGTGCCAGGCAGCCATTGGCTGGAAGGGGTGGCTTCCTCCCAAACAGGAAATCAGACACTCCTAAACTTATCCCTCCACCTCAGGTGGCACTGGGATGACAGTGGCCATCAACCAGACCAAAGCCCCCTTTTTATTCCTCCTTTGGAGATTCTGACTGATTCCTAAATATCTCAAATGCAGAGAGGGCATGGAGTCATGGACCCACACACTCTGACATGAAGGAAAAACAAATGTTCATTGAGTCTGGCAAGGGTTCAGTGACTTGGATTTCAGAGTCTAGGCTGGCAACTGGGTGCCCCGTTGGCATGAGGCTTCTTACCGTGAGGACAGTGGACACAATAGCGAACCCCAACACACACTCCATGTTCTCCCTCTCCGTGTCGAGCTCTATGCTGAGGCCGCTGGTGTAGTCGTAGTAGAGCCACCACAAGACGCCGCAGACAACTGTAAAACACACACAACTAGAACGCGGCCCTGAGAAGCTGCCTGGTAGGAGTCTGATCCCTGCTGGAGAGCAGGCAGCTGTGCCCAGACAGGGTCTAATGGCCCTGAACTGCACTGCTGTCAGCTGCCCTCTGCAGGGCTGGCTGGGCAGAGCCGGGGCAGCCCGTGGAGGATGTGCTAGCCTTAGGACCTCTGTCTGTCTCAGAAAGACCCAGAACCACAGGAGTCTAGCCCACAGGTTGTGTGTGTGTGTGTGTGTGTGTGTGTGTGTGTGTGACCACGGGAGCGTCCAAAGTCTAAAATTTTCACCACACATTCCTGTGGGATTTAGGTACTGGCTGCTCACCTACAAAGCCAGGTTGGTTTGGTTGGACCTGTGGGAATAAGTACATGAGAGGCTCCTCCTGAAGACACTGTCCCTGTAAACAGCTTTCAGTACAAACACTCACTATGCCATGTCCTTGTTACTATGGGAAGGTCACAGATGTCTACTAGTCCAGATGGAGAACATCCTTCAGGAGACACCATGCCTGGCCGCCCTCATGGGGCTCCAGGGCACCCAGCTGCTGGGGGGCAGAGCTGCCTAATCGAATGAATGAATCAGTGCAGTCATAATAGTACCATGCCAAAGCAGCTGGTAAATTGCTATGCTTCGAGCCCCTCACATGTTCCTACTCCACAGACCTTTCCAAACAACCTTTGGTGAGACTCACAATCCAAAGCCCAGAGGTAAAGGACAGATGCAGCACACAGTCTCCAATACCCTTCTCCTGCACTGATCTATGTCTCTCTTCACAGAAGAAATTCTTCAAATGCTTCCAACAGACATTGGAAGACTGGATATGATCCTGTCTCAGGACCACTCAGTGGGCAGGCTCCTGCCAGGGCCAAGCACCACAGCAGAAGGAGCAGCAGGCCAAGCATTGCCTTGGGTCATGTCTGAGATGTCAGAAGCTCCTGTTGTTTAGGGGTCCGGGTTTTCTCAGATGTGAAATGCTAGGGCTGGGCTAGACAATCCCTAAGACCCCAAGTCATTAAAAAATTACCAAATTCTAAGTTGTGTACTCAAGGGAAGGCTTTTCAATTCATCAAAAGATATCAGTTATGATACTTACACAACATTCCCAAAATAACCAACGAGATGAAAATATGAACCAGAAGGGTTGTGATGAACCGGAAGGTGACCATCATGGCCAAAGACAAGGCTGGAAAAAACAAGGGAAATTTATATAGCTCAACAACAACAGAGGAAAGGGTAAAGATGGTGAGATGATAATGAGCAAGTACTGCAGAGGGCTGAGGGTTTTAGCTAGTCTCCCAACATTTGGGGCCACCTACCAGACTCCAAATGAAAATAGCCAGATAACACTCTGGATCCTGAAGGGATCAGGCAAGGTCAAGCACTACAGTAAGGCAGCTTCTCACAGTGACAGCACTCCTTTCCAATGGAAAAATTAAGTATCATTTCCAAATACTCAGAGCTCTTTTTTTTTCTCTTGTAAGACCAAGTGTAAGATTTTAAATTTTTTCATGCTGAAGTTTTTGAATTTCATACTTACGTAAAGTTCTAACTGTAGATATTCTCAGATACTCTTGCTAAATCCGAAAGAAGAATGCCTTTAAAATGGAAAATGTCCAGTTCTAATCATAAAGTTAGCGACCATTTCATTTTCCAATTGGCCTTTTAGGCTTATGACTTTTTCCTCAATATTTCAGTCAATTTATAAGCATTTTGTTTTGAAACATGAAATCAAGATTATACATGGATATTTCTGTGCCATGGTTAATAATATAAATTACAGAATCAGACCGATCTGGTCTTGGGCCTCTGCTCTGTCTCTACTTTCAGATTTTCAGAAAGCTTGTGGAAGAACTGAGTTAAAGGGCAAGTATCTTTTGGTACAAAACCATGCATAGTTTATGATGCATATTTTTCCTTGAAATTCTTGAAGATCCCATGAATGGCTGGTCTCCCTGCCAGCTTCTTGGAATCACAGCATCCCAGATAAGCTATCTAAAGTCATTCTCAGTCTACATAAGAAGTCTAGAAGTTACAGAGCTGTGAGTCATTAACATCCCCAGGCTTTCAGGAACCGGTCATCCTTGTAATGATATTATAGAATACCGATTTTCTAAAGTTCTAGAAACACGTTAATGCCTAACCCAGAAGTTTCTTTCAAACAAGAAGTTGAGGGAGGAGCTGCCACAGGAAACGGGGGAGATCCAAGGCTAACAGCATTGTCTAAAATGAGTGGTAGAGTGTCCTGACCCATTCAGTGCTGATTCTTCACAGAGCTCAGCAAATGCAAGCATAAAAGATGGGAAGCTAAAGTACCAAGGTGAGTAGCTGCTCTCAAAAATGCTGACAGGAGGCAGGTCTCAGCTCCATTGAAGCTGTGCTCCAATAAGTAGCTGGCCCCTGCCTGGACACCCCGTCCTCAGCCCTGGCTCACCAGCACCTCTATGCAGAGAGGGCACACTGCTCAGAAAACATGGTTTCCATTCTCCCTGGGGGTTGTGCCTCTCCTGGCCAGCTCCTAACAGGGTCATCCAACTTGCACATTCACCCCTGACACAGAGCTAAGGACCAGACACTGGAACCTGACCAGTGGATTAGGTACTGCACCTGTTATCCCCACCTGTAAGGCTTCTTGGCACACAGAAGCAGCTGGTCTTTTCCCATTCCTATTGCTCCCTCCCCAAGTTGAAACTAAAATACAGAAAGCTTTCAGAAAAAAATACATATGAAGTTTTGTGTTTAAGCAGAGAAACTAATTTTCACTGTCTCATGTAGATGAATATTAGAAACTCAGGCATTCCATAAATAGCAACTAAGATAGAAGGAAAAAAATTACCTAATGAGAGGATACAAAGGCCGAGGATGGTGTCTCTTCCCGACATGATCCCACTCAGAATTTGCTGCAGGGTGTCGACATCATTGATCAGAACAGATGCGAACAGGGAATAGCACTCAGGTGTTTGAGGGATGCACCGGTTGAACAAGGGAAAGGGCTTGCTAAAAACAAGAGACAGGTTCGTTACTTATCTTTAAGAAAAAAAGAAAAGATGTTTCCTTAAAATCTTGAACAACCAAGAATGCCCAGGATTTGTATCAATGAATCCTTGCTTGCAAACTGGTCCTTAGCTGGTGCTTTGGATGGACAACTGTCCATGAAACACCTAAACTCAGGGAGTCACATTTTAAAACAAAAAACTGAATGTTTAAGGTGTCCAAAGTGATGTCTTGGTACACAAATTATGAAATAATTACTTCAGTCAAACTAATTAACATATGCATCACCTTACATAGTTGCTATTTTTATTAGTGAGAACACTTACCCTACTTGCTTTGTGAATTTCAATTACCAGTGAAAATTATTAACTATAATCACCATGTTATATATTATATCTCTAGAGTTTCTTACCCCATATAACTGAAATCTATACTGTTTTGACTGACATCTGCCATCCCCCAAGTGGCCCCAACATTTGTTTCTATAAATTCAATTTTTCTGGATTTCACATACAATGCGATCATGCAAGGATTTGTCCTTGCAGATTCATTTCCACATTTGAAAGGCAGACTTACAGAGTGGGATGGGAAAAGAGACAAATACAGAAAGAGAGATCTTCCATCCACTGGTAGTCTCCAAATAGCTTTAATAGTTAAGGCAAAACCTGGCTGAAACCACTCCAGCTGGGTCCCTATGAGTATGGCAGGTCCCAAGACCTTGGGCCATTTTCTGCTGTCTTCCCAGGTAAATCAGCTGGGAGCTGAACCAGTTCTCTCACAGGAAACAGTGTAACCTGTTGTGCCACAATACTGGTCCCTATGTTTGTCTTACTGAACTTAGTATCACACTCTCCAGGTTCATCCATATTGTTGCAAATGGCAATAGTGTTGTAGTTCAGTTGGTTAGGCTACTGCCTATGATGACAGCATTCCATAAGAGCACCAGTTCAAGTTTCCCCGAATCCACTTCCAACCCAGCTTCCTGCCAATATGCCTGGGAAGGCAGTGGAAGAAGTGAATTGGCGGATGGAAGATCTAGCTGTCTTTGTCTCTCATTTCTCTAACAATCTCCCTTTCAAGTAAACATGGGTTTAAGTTTAGAAGCATTTTAAACATTGCAAAATTGCAAAGATGATAGAGTTGCTGTGAATCCCTACCCCTAAGGTTAACTTCTCACATAGATATACTACATAAATGAAGATTAAGACTTAACATTAGAACTGTACTATTAACTAAACTCTGGAGCCTTTGTTCACATTGTATTATGTCTAATAGCTTTTTTTTGTTGTTCCAGGAGCCACTCCAAGGTAGCACACTGCACTGGATTGTCAGGGTTCCTCTTTTGTCTGAGAGAATTCCTTAACTTCTCCCTGATTCTCATGACCACACATTTTTGTAAATTGTCCTCTATTTGTAGAATCTCCCCTATTTTTTCTTTATCCTTAAACTGCAAATGATGGGTTTTCAGAAAAACTGTCACAGAGATGGAGTGCCCCCCTCATAGAATCACATCAGGGAATGACAGTGTGACACTGCTGGTGAGGTTGACTTGCATGCCCGGACACAGGCTGCCTGGGGAGTGGTGTTCTCTTTCTGTATTCATTTCTTTGTGAGTCCCGGTGCCTGGCTCATGCTCAAGGGAAATGAAATTAAACTCCAACTCTCAGAAGGAGTAATAGCTCTCCATATTATTTGAAAAGCTCCAGTAGGAAGTATATAATTCTTTCCCCTCATTTATTTCCTCATTGATTTATATTAGTATAAACTTGCAGGCATCTTATTCATTTTTGGTTTAAAATTTAATTCAATCTTTTTTTTTCCTGTTGCTCAAATTGTTTCATGTTTGGCCACTTGGAGGTCTTTCACTTGCCATCCTCACCCTCCGCTGCGTCTTCCTGACAGGCTACACCTCTCTGCTTTCTGGCTCTCCAAGGTAACGCCAGGCTAGCGGATATTTTCTTGATCCAAGCTCTTATTTTCTTGATCCAAGCTCTAGGCTCAACCATTTCTCTAAGGAGCCCTTTGAGAGCAGAAATTGACACTGCTCATTGCGCTCATTGCTACTGGGGGGCTCACTGGCTCCAGGGCCTCTTACAGTCAACCCTCCCACGCATTTTCTGAATGGCTAACCATACCCCTGTTGAGTACAGACTTAGCACCCAGAGCAGTGTTTACACATAATTCTTTCTGTTTTTAGCTTTCCATGTCCTGTTGCAAAGCTGTTGGTGAGTGAGCTCCTTTTCTCTCTGCCCCTTTCTGTGAGGCAATCATGACATTTTCTTCTGTCAGGCTCTCTGAGATCTTTTTTATTTGCATAAAGTTCACTATGTTGGGCATTGATATGAGCAGAGGCAATTCTGAAAAGTTTTTTATTTATTTTAGAGAACTCATGTGACTCTATCCTTGTCCCTCTTGTTCCTAAGAGGGGTGGAGTGTGCTACTCCTAGCTCTGATGAGAGAGGTGACAGGGGGAACTCAGAGAGCTCAGGGAACCGCAGGGGTTGTGTTCTGAGCCCCCCTGAGCAACCTGACGGGGAGTGTGGGCACAGAGTGGATAGCTGCAGCTAGGCAGCTGACTGCCTGCCCTGTGGCTCCTGAGGTCCAGATGTGGACCACATGTGCAAGGGTCCCAGCATGGGGTCTTGTTGCTCAGACCCATCACAGTCGCACGGAATGCTGTGGAGATTCTAAGAGAACCTAAAGTGGTTGCTTGAGGGCCTCCCAAATGGCCAGTCAGAATTGAGATGTCCTGGAGTACAACATCCTCCTGACGCACAGGGGGTATGCACCAAGGACCCCAGGGGTGATGGCGGCCACTACAGGAAGTATGGAACCCTATAAAGACTATGCTTCCCCCCCCCCACCCATACATACTTACAATGAAGCTTAATTTATAAAAGTGACTCCATAAGAGAGTAACAATAAATACAATATTTGAACATTATACCACAATCAAAGATTTCATCATGGTCCACGATTTAGCATTGTTCAATGGTGCTATTTTCTACTTAATATTTGCAGAATGTGGTTGACCATGTTTAGGAAGGACAGTTGCATGTGAAGTACATTGCAGCAAGAGAGCCCTGAAGACCCCAAAACAATGCCCTTGAGAGGAAGCACTGGCCACAACCTCTCCCATGCCCAGAGAAAGCTGGTGCCCTCTCTCCTTTTCTCTTTGCTGCTGCATGCTGGGGAAGGAAGCATGGGGCAAGTCCAGAGAGAGAAGGGCAGGTGATCACAAACCCCTGGGGACCCGAGCCTCACATGCTTTTGGTCCTAGCTGGGGAGGGGAAGAAGTCTGTCCCTTCCCTTCCATTAGAAATCGATCATGTTGGGTTGAACATTCTAATGTTGGAATCAAAAGCATCTTTTCAATTTAACATACACAAGATCAGAGAAGTCTTGGCTGCTTGCCTGTTTTTCTGCAGGGGCAGATAAGGAACTAGCCCCCACTGGATATACATAAACAGATGAGAGAAACAAAAATAAAGTTGATTTCTGATCTTTTGCTCTTGTTTAATTGTTACACCCAAAATGCATTCATCTATCCATTTATGCCTATATACAAACATAAAGCACACATATAGTTTTTCTCTTTAGGCATACTGCTCTTTAGTTGGCTTGAGAGAATATTAGTATACCTTGTAGCTCTGTTCATAGCAGCCTGCAAGGGATTGCTCTGATTTTTTTTTTTTAATTGGAAAGGCAGATATACAGAGAGGAGGAGAGAATGAGAGGAAGATCTCCATGTGACCGCAACGGCGGAGCTGTGTTGATCTGAAGCCAGAGCCCAGAGTAGCTCTGCTGGGTCTCCCACATGGTGCAAGATCCCAAGGCTTTGGGCCATCCTCGACTGCTTTCCCAGGCCACAAGCAGGGAGCTGGATGGGAAGTGGGGCTGCTGGGATTAGAACTGGTGCCTACATGGGATCCCGGGCGCATTCAAGGTGAGGACTTTAGCCACTAGGCCGCTATGCTGGGCCCTTTTTTTTTAAAAAAAAAATTAACTAATTCTTAATTTTTTTTTATTGGAAATGTAGATATACAGAGAGGAGAAGAGAAAGAGAGGAAGAGATTTCTCTGATTTTTAATGAGGTGCAATTTGCATAAAGTGACAGGCACAGATTTTAAAAAGCATCCAGAGAGCCACTTTTGCCGTGTTCCTCTCTGGATGGGGAGCATTTCCAGCTCTCCATGACATCCCCTCAGAGCACCTTCCAATCTGGCACCATCCCTTTCCAGGCACTGCCGACCCGATTTCTGCTGCTACAATACTTTTGACTCTCGCATGATCCCACTGAAACCGAGTCCCTGGAGATGCATGCTTTAGAGCCCCTTTTCTTTCGTGTAGCCATGGCATCCTTCCGATGACTGTCATTCCATGAAATAATTATGCCATAATTTGCTTATTTGCGTTCCTGTTTTTTGTCATTTGAGCTGTTTCCGTTTGGGGTCTTTTAAATTCAGTTGCTATAAATATTTGTACATATATATCATAATCTATGGATGGACATTTTTCGTTCGTTTGGGATTAATACCTACAAGTGGGTTCACAGGGTGGTATGGTAAGTTTATGCTAAACTTTATACAGAACTACCAATTTTTCCCATACTACATTATCTGGTACACTTGTACCAGTGATACATGAGAAATCTAGTTGTTGCACATCCTCACCAGTACCGGGTATCTATTTATAAATTATTCTGTGACTCATTCTGAAGAAAAAAAAAAAGGAAAATGTTATCAGAACTGAAAGAAACACTGTAAGTCCTTCTAGGAGATGTGTCTGCTCTCTAGCTTTCATTTGAACTTCTTTGATGTGAGTCTATTGTCACACACCTACTGGCTGTTTGCACATCTTCTTCTAAGTCGTGTTTAAGTCTGTTGCCTGGTTCTGTGGGGGCTATTTGTCTTTTATTGATTGAAACCAAGAGACAGCTAAATTTGAACACTGCCTGTTTTTGTCATAAAGCATGCCAGGGACACATAAAGCCCTTTCCCCATTTTCCATGTTTGCCTCTGCACTACAGTCACACGGAGCGCATATAACCCACAATGCCTCACAAAGTCTGAGATATTTGCTTACCTGATCTTTCACCAAAATCTTGCTATCCTTGGTTTAAACAGATTCTTTTAGATAAATACATATGTGTGTGTATATCTATCTATCTATCTATCTAAAACATATTCTGGGTTTCAGCAATATGTATGTATACACACACACATATATGTTTGTATGTGTATATGTGTGTGAGTGCATTTTCTTCTAGAACTTTAATAGTTAGGGTTAAGATTCACCTCATATTAACTTTTACGTATAGCATGAGGTTTAAAAGAAAAGTCCAGATTTGTAGCATTGTGTCACAGCATGTAAAGCTGCTGCCTAGGACACCAGCAGCCCATGTAGGCCTAGTTTGAGTCCTGGCTGCTCCACTTTTGATCCAGCTCCCTGCTAATGTGCCTAGGAAAGTAGCAGAGGATAAGCCAAGTCCTTGGGCCCCTGCACCCATGCAGGAGACCAAGAGGAAGCTCCAAGCTCCTATCTTTGTACTAGCCCAGCTTCAGCCACGGTGGCCTTTTAGAGAGGGAAGACCATTTGCTGAGTAGCAATTCTACCTCCTGCTTTCCAATTACCAAACTCTCTAATTTCTTTTTTCTTTCTATTACTAAACAGATTCTTAACCTAACAAGTTTGGATTGTTCTGAAAGTGAATGTTATGTGAACTTGCTTCAGTGTTTTTGAGAAATAAGATCAGATAGATATTTAAGGTCATTTGCTTTTCCCAAGACCTTGATTTTGACAACACTGGTGTTTTGTAGGCATTTGGTAATCCTGCGCTGATGAAAAATGGCCCTTCTTATTTTGGAGGGAGACACCAAGAAGCACATAAAGCTTAGGTCACCCACATCAGGTGTCTGCCTAGATGCTTCATTCACTGGGGCATTCACTTTTCCTTATTTTTATTTATTTATATATATTTAAAAATCTATTTACTATAATTCCTTATTTTTATTTATTTGAAGGGCAGAGAGTCAGATACAGAGAACACACTCACAAGCGCACACACACACACACACACACACACACACACACACACACACACACACACACACACACAGAGAAAGAGAGATCTTCCATTCACTGGTTTACACTTCAAATGGCCACAATGGTTGGGGTTGGGCCAGGCTGAAACTAGAAACCAGGAACTTCATTCATGTTCCCAGTGGTGGCAGGGGCTCAAGCGCTTCAACCAACTTGTACTGCTCTCCCAGGTGCAAGCAATTGTGAGGAGCTAGACTGGAAGTAGAGCAGCCAGGACTCAAATCAGCAGGCTGATACGGGATGCCAGAATTGTTAAGTGGCAGCTTAACCCACCATACTAGAATAGCAGCCCCGCATGGGTGTTTCTTTAGATCATAGCCTGAGATTTTCCTTCACTTCTAATGTTTTTCCCATTAACAAACTTTTCTAACATTGCAGTGAGTAACCTGGAGAACTCCCTGCATGTTCACCTAAGTAAGTAACACAGTGACATGCATGAGCACTTATATGGGAGGCTAGATATAAAGTTTACTGGCGGGAGAGAATTCAAGATGTCTTAAAATTTAAGTAAATAAGGAACTCCAAATACAATATTATGCTGACCATCAAAGGGAAACAGATCTGCCTGCCTGTTACTTTCTTTGTTACTTTCTCACTGCTCTTGAAAGCTTGTATTTTTGCGTGCAGACACTTAGGTTGCTGGTCTAAAAGGGCATGCTATACCTCATATGACCGACAGGAAGAGGAAAACAGGTGAGTTAAATAAAAGCGGTATTTAGAAAATGTCCTTTGGCCATCTAGCCACGCTTCTCATGTTTTCCAGTCTTTTAATCTTGGCAGAGCTCTTTCACGATAAATATGATAATTTCCAACTTCAACAAGCACTTGCTTGTGTAGGAAAAGGAAATGGAACCCTTAAGGCTATTTAGAGCTCCCCCGCATTGTCCAAGAAAGGCCGGTCAACCAGCAGTTTGGTCTTCACTTGAAAAGTGAGTGTAGGGAAAGCTGTGCACTGAAGGATAGAAAGGGCCAGGGCTTGCTTCTGAGACTGGAAAGGTGGTGGCCTGAGGACACAGGGAGGGGACATTTATAGCCCCGCTCCAAGCTTGGTTGAACCCGGAGAGGCTATTGGCCAGGCCGAAGGTACATGTGCACTGGGGTTATGTTATATACTTACTATGCCTTTGTGTACTGTGGTTATGACATAATACACTTAACTGCACTTTTTATTAACTGAGGCTGCATTAAATGTAGGCTGTCCCAGATGGCTGGCCCAATACCTTGCTTTATTTAACTGTTCATTGGTATAAGAAATAATATTTTTTTTGCACAAAGCTCTCACTTATTATATATATCCTTAAATTTCTGAAAAGCATGACAATGGGAAATCAATGCAAGCCCTCCTTTACTGCAACTCAGACACCAGAGCTGGCCATGAACACTTCCTGTGTATTTCCCCTCAGTTTTCTCAAGGGTGCGAGGGTGAGCCATTCACCTTGGCAATCACCACTTTGTCACTGTGAGCTCACTTCACAAAGACGCATACGGTGCCTTCCATGCACCAGGCAGTACATGAATTGATAGAGATAAGTAAGAACCTGCGAGAAGATTCCCAAGAATAATGTTGGTAAGGAGCTGCATTCTCTGTCTTCGTGGAAAAGAAAGGGAGGTACCTGACTTGCCCACCCAGGTATGTTTCTATGGAGAAATATAGAGCTATGAGAAAGAACAGTGCCTGCTTTCAAAGAAAACGCTACAATAACTAATTTCTACTTTGTACTAAACATTTGAAGAAGAGAAAAATTATATCAACTAATTTACAAAATCAATCATCTGATCATTCATGTCCGTTTTGCTAAATCTGTTGTTAGTTGAAGTCTACATACATCTTTTTGCTTGGCTAAGTTTTCCTCTCATTCAGTCTGGTTACTAATCTGTTTTCCACTATGTACACTGTAAGCAGTTCCTCTTTGTTTATTCTCAGCCTTCTATAGACTATAAATTCCCAACAGACAGGATTCCCCTACACTGCTTGGAAGACTAACAGACTTACATCAAGTACCCAATAAAATCTATTGATGAACAAGCAAAAAAGCATGGGCATGTTTACCTTGGTGGAACTGGCAGCTTGGGGCACAATGAGTGGGCATTCGGACTCTCGGTGTAGTTGTAGGGATTCAAACTGTAGATGCAGAGGAAGGACCCTGGGAAGGAAGACACACGGACTGTACCATGCCTCTGTATCATTTCAGCATATTCCAGCAGAGCAGGTAAGGAAAGCACAGTTATTTTACCAAATGGAGAAGGAGACAGAACACACCCTCCCACCCCATATTTAGAAACAGGTGACCTAACTACCAACAGATAGATGCTCACAACCCAAGCTTGAGTCAGAGTTTCTTTTTCTTCCTAAAACCCCAAATTCTAACTTAAAAGTTCAATAATTGGCCCTGAGATGATGTAAAGGTTATCTGTATCTCGTAGAGAAATGACTTTGCAAATAATTTTTTTAAAATTTGCCATGCCATTACTCAGATAATATTTACAGTGGGTTGCCTCAAGTTTCTTTGTTCTCCACTTTGTTAGTGTAATCCTTATAAGGTAAATCTGAGTAGCACACCCAGACCAAGCTTCCTGAGTTACACAAATGTATAACTTAGGACTATGCCATTGGTCAGTGATAGCAGCCACCGGCTAGCAGTCCAACCAGAAGGCTACAGGGGCCTCTCTAGGACCAGCCATGCCTGGTGCACGAAGCCCTTTGGTCTCTGTCTGAATCAGACTCTGGGCCATATATGCCCGTTGTATACCCTGTGCTGCCTATATAAGACCCAGATAGTTCAGCTGGAGCAGCATAGGCCTCAAAGAAACCTTGATGGGCCTGACTGCAAGTGAAAAAGCTCAAGAGAAAGCGTCTACGGCCTTTGTACCATAGTAAGGACTGGTGATATCCAGAGGAAGCAGGGCCAGGGTAAGATATCTCATCGAGGTCCCCACAGGTTACCCCATGAAGCCCATGTTCTGGGGATGGCGCTGGGCAGGGGCAGCCTCTGGGAGCCTACCAGTGGTGTTGGCGAAGAGCTGGACTTCTTCCAGGGTGTTGAGTTGCTCTTCTGGACAGCTGGATACGCAAAGGGCAGTGGGTCCGGGCTTCTCATCTTTGAGTGCCTGGGTGCATGAATTCATAAAGAACACGTGTCTGAGGAGACAGATGAGCCCAGAGAGCATCTTAGAGCCTTGGCCCTTGGTGAGTTTAACTGTGGGCTTTAGCAATGTATTTGTATGCCAGCAGACGAGGAAATTATCAAGGCAGACTCTGCCAGCCAAGTGCTTCAGTAAACTTGAACATGTTTGATGTCAAGTGGGCCTCACGTATGGAATTGCACAGATTGTGTGTGCAAACCACACTCATGACCTATCAAAATATCCCTTCTCCAGATTCAGCATTTTTGGGAGGGTAACTCTAGGGAGACACCTTAGGAGGTTGCCAAGGAAGAGAAGGGATTAGTCAGACTGCTTTGGACTGCTAGCTCTGACCCAGTACAGACACTGCTCAATGGAATCCCTGCAAAGTGTATCTGAGTCCCAGGTGCCCAAATGCACATCGCTGGGGAAGAGCAGAACACAGGAAATGATGATCAGCTAGGAGGGGCCAAGCTGGGAAGGAAACGCTGGTCCTCCTTGCAGTCGGATGTCCTTGCCAGATTACTCAAGGGACCCTGTCTGCAGCCAGCCAGCCACAGCACTGGGTGAGGTGGCCCAAGAGCAAAGCTGGTTACTGCCACTCATGAGTTAAGTTCTGGTGGGGATGGTTCTTGGACCCTTGCCTGATGTTATGTGAACTGCTGAGATCACAGGAAAGCCTAGTACACTGCTCTCTGTGCAGGAACCTGGGCACTACTTGGCCCCCAACTGGAGATGGAAGAGAGGGTGGTGGTGCAAGGAAGTGGATTTCCTGGGCATTTGATAAACATGCACTTGGCTTGAGTTTTAAGGTTGTGTGAAGATACGCATGACATTTACCATCTTCAATCATTTCTACTGAACAGTTCAGTGGCATTAAGCACATTCCCACTGTGCTATGACCACCACACCACACAACACTTTTCATCTTGTAAAACTGAAACTCTGCACTTACTTCCCTAACATTCCAACCCCCTTTCCCTCAGGCCTACCAACCACCATTCTGCTTTCTACTTTTCCTGTGAGTGGCAAATGTGGATGCTTCATGAGAGTGGAATTATACAAGTTATCTTTTGCAGACAGGTGCATTGCATTTAGCATGTTGCTTTCACGGCTGCAACAGGTGCCCAAAATTGCTGCCTTTTTAGGTGAATGCTACCTCATGGTTTGTGTGTACCATGTCTTGCTTACACATTCACCTCTCCATGGACACTTGGGTGGCTGCCACTTTTTAGGTATTAAGAGGAATGCAGTACTTTGTCTTCAAAGAGGAATGGCCATTTTTCAGTACTGCACTGTGAACAGAGGGAGAAACTGAGCCAATCCAGGCAATCCATGCCCAGATACTGCATCAAGGCCTCTGTGTAGAGGACAAGAGCCTGGATCTGAGATTTGCTTTTGGTAACTCCAAAGTTCTACTCTGAGTCTCCTCAGACCCTTAGAGTTTCCTTCTTTGGGGTTGCTTGGAGTCTCAAAAGTTGTTATATGGTGGTCACCTCCAAAGGGAATTGCAGCAGGGGAATTCGGCCAACTCTGACTCCTGCAGGGAGGGTAGCATTGGATAACACAGTGCCTGTCCCCGCTGACAGTGCAGTCCCGGAAGCAGTGGGACACAGGTCCTCGGTAGTGCCGGTCAGGTCTCCACTATCTCCATGCAGAGACACATGGCTACAGAGCATGCAGGGTTCACACATCCCCCTGGGAACCCAGGTTCTGTACCCTGAGGATAACAGTGGTAACACTGAACATGGCTTAGCTCTACAGTGTCTCCCTGGATCCTCAAAACAACTCTCCGAGATGGGTGCAACAACAAGCTTAGAAAGATGGCAAATGGGCTCACATGGTGAAAAAAGGAGCTGAGGCCCAATCCACCTAATTTTTAAGCCTGCATCCTCACTGGTGCCCATGACCTGCCTTTCCGTGAGACAGGCTGATAGTTTTGAATGTGAGAACCATTTCCACCTCTCAATGACTGATCTACTCAAAGTTCTGAAATGCAGCCTCACGACAGGTTGGGACTTACTTTTTCAGGGTCATGTCCTGTCCTGAGAGAGGAGCCCCTTCCACTGGGGAGTTCTTCTTGCCACACACGTTGCCAAAGCTGTCGTAGCCGAACAGTAGTCTTCCTGCGGCGCCAGCCACCACCGAGTACCCCGTGAGGAACATCTAGTGAAAGTTGAGGGAACGTGAGGGCCTGGCCACAGCCCCATGCTCCCACAGACACCGGCACACGACGGAGCCAGGCAAACCCAACTCTCCAGGACCACAGCATGTCCAGTGCCCCTCACAACTCACACCACCTGGATCCAGCTACTGGATGACATGTTCTAGTACACTGGGAGTGGAGGGGTGTGGGAAACATAATGCAAAGATTCTGACCTTCTTTCTTTAAAAAAGAATATTAAAAAAAATTAACTTTTATTTTTTTATTTTATTTATTTTTTTTAAAGATTTATTTTTTATTATTTTTTTATTGGAAAGGCGGATATACAGAGAGGAGAGACAGAGAGGAAGATCTTCCGTCCGATGATTCACTCCCCAAGTGAGCGCAACGGGCAGATACTATGCCGATCTGAAACCAGGAGCCTCTTCCGGGTCTCCCACGCGGGTGCAGGTTCCCAAAGCTTTGGGCCGTCCTCGACTGCTTTCCCAGGCCACAGGCAGGGAGCTGGAAGGGAAGCGGGGCTGCCGGGATTAGAACCGGTGCCCATATGGGATCCCGGGCGTGCAAGGCGAGGACCTTTAACCACTTGCGCCACCGCGCCGGGCCCTAACTTTTATTGAAAAGGCAGATTTACAGAGAGCAGGACAGACACTGAAAGATCCTTCTCCCACTGCTTCACTCCCCAGGTGGGCCCAAATCAACAGCTCAGCCAATCCAAAGCCAGGAACTTGTTCTGGGTCTCCCATGTGAGCGTAGGATCCCAAGGCTTTGAACTATCTTCTACTGCTTACACAGGCTGACAAGCAGGGAGCTGGATAGGAAGTGGAGTAGCTGGGACTAGAACTGGTGCCCATATGGGATGCCAAAGCTTGCAGGTGGAGGATCAGTTGCACCATCGTGCCTCCCTCCCGCACCTTTCTTGTTGACCTATCAGGATACTTCAATCTGTTTTTCCTGAGGTTCCTAGTTAATTTACGTGCATAAGGACTAGGCTAATCCCCCCCCCCCCGAGTTGTTTTACCTTCTGTCATAAAAAAAAAAAATGATCATGAACTGAATGGCACAGAGACAGAGAGAGAAATAGGGAGACAAACCCAACTTCTGCGGGTAGACTCTCCAAATGCCCATTACAGTTGGTGCTGAGTCAGAACCAAGCCAGGAGCTGGGAGCCCATTTGAGGTTTCCCACATGGGTGGCAAGGATGCAGCCATTAGAGCCAACACCTGCCACCGTTCAGAAGGCACATTAGCAGGAAGCTGGGTTCCAAATGGAGCCGGGACTCATAGCCAGGCACTCTGATATGAAATGGGGGTGTGCTAAGTGGTGTTGTAATTGCTGTGCCAAATGCCGAGCCCTTTTGTGTGACTTTTAGGGGACTCAGGGTTAACACAGCTGAACTATAACAAGATACTGTTCCCAACAAGATGGAAAATAGTGTTTTGGAATAAATGATTAAAACATTCAATTAAAAAAACTTCAGGGGTTTTGTTGGACAAGTATATCTAACAATCTACAATCAATTTATCTGATTTCATGGTGAATGCATAACATTTATTCAAAAGAACTATTGTATTAATCTGCATCAGTGGACGCTCTATCAAAACTGAATATCTATCTTCCCACATCCTAGTGTTATAAGTTTTCCAATATAAATAAGTAAAACTCTAGTTTAAGTTTTTTAACATGCAATATGTACAATACCACTCAGCACTTGATACTAACAAGCTTATATGAAGGATAATGTACTATATCATTCAATGGTACATGGTACTGACATGTATGTTCCAGGTAGTGTCCCAAGGTCAAATATGTTCAAGATTCTCTGCAGTCACGACTAACTTTCTTGAAGTATTCAGTGTGTGCCAGAGACGCAGCTGCTGGGAACACAAGGATGGATGGCATCTAGTCCCTGAACTCCAGCTGGAAGCTGAGCAGAGCTAGGGCACAGGAGCCTGCCTGCTGCTGCTCGCTTCTCAAGCTCCCGTGGGGTCTAACTGGTTGGATTCCAGCATGAATGGGTCACCTTTACTGGTGGACTGGGACCCTCTGCTTAAAGGCTGAGGATGTAGTGTGACCCTTCATGTGCCCAGAAGGGTGGCATTGTAAGCAGGCCCAGCCTTGACATGCTTGCCTCCTGTCTCCTCCAGGAGGAATGCAGTGAGGTCCTGATTGCACTTGGACTTCAGGTGAGAACAGGGATGGCACACTTCTGCCTTGCTCACCAGAGATCCAGTAAGGAAGTGTTCCTTTCCAGGTACCGTCATTATTTATGTGATGTGTCCCTTGGAAAGCTTATGGGGAGAAATGAAAAATTTTTAAGGGGGGGCATGTGGGTAGGGTGGGATAGAGTGGGGTAAGATTTTGGTATTCCTAAATCCCTGCCATAAACTTAAAAGTGCTATTGATGCAAGTTTAAACATGCATGTGCAATCCCACAAAAGACACAGCAGGTGTGCACACTGGGCTAGTGGGGTCACCAAGAAGGGAGAGATCCAGGAAATGGAAGATGAATTGGAAAGAGCAAGGTAGGAGAAGACACAGGAGAGGCAAATAGAGGCAGAGATGGTCCAGGCTTTGTCTTATATGCAAATGTAGCCACTTTTATTTTTATACATACACATATACACAAACTGGTACTCTATCTGAAAAGAGCACCTCTGTTTGCTAATTCTGGATCCTTCCCCCAAACCTCCTTTGTTTTGCCCTAACTCATGGGAATGCCCTCAGCATAATACTGGCCAGTTCAAAACTTTTCGGGAAGTCCATCCAGGAGCTAAACAGAGGATGCAGACAAAGCTCTTGCTCTGTCAGAAATGCCTATCTGTGGCTAATATGTAGTGGAAGAATCTAAAAGCCAGTCAGCTAAGAAAGGGCTCTGATAATGAAGACTGAATACAGGAAAAAGAACTTGAGCATGTTCAAGCTGTTTCCAGCTCCAAGCCACCTCTAGGCTGGCTTATAATTCTGCTCACTGTGATGGGCCATCTGCAGCTCTCTTCTTTGGATGGGTGGAGAGTTTGGTAGTGAGATGCTAGATTCGAACTGCTGAGTCGCTGGGAGAGACTATCTAATAGTGTTACCACAGCGAGGTCAAAGCTACCAGGCACTAGGCAGGACCCTGGCTTCTTGTGCTCATGGAACAGCAGACTCAGATAGAACACCCAACTCCCATGGGCAAGGGAAGCAGAAGACGATTGAGGTGTACTGTCTTTTTCAACTTCTAGAGGGAAGTTCCACAACTTTAGTGCAACACACACACACACACACACACACACACACACACACACACACACACACAGTCAGCCTTCCAGGCCCAACCTTCCATCCGTTGCACCTGTAGCCAAGTGTGTTCAGAGGAAACCAGTCCAGAAAGTCAACATGGGAACAAATAGCTTTCTCACTTGGGAAGAGGAACACACCTCATGTTTAAGGGCCTTGTTCAAACGGAATTCTTTTCAACAAAGGTAAAGACTATCTGGTATTTATTATCAGGCTCTGGAAATTAATCATTTACCACGCAGCCAATAGCAGGCATCAACCTGGCAGGCTTGATTTCAGCAACTTGGCCTCGGGGAACAAGTTTAATGAGACTTTTCCAGCAGTTGCCTCCAACTCAAAAAGAAGGGCAAAAGTGTGGAAACTTAGCTCCTGAAAGACTTTTCCAGGACTGCCCAGGAACTGCCTGCTGTGGCCCACCAACAGCTGCACAGGTCAGGAGCCCTGAGTGGGAAGGGAAGCCCACCACTTCTTGATTCAACTCTGAAACAGCATGCCAAGAGCACTAAAGCCAAAGCCATTCATTTCTAGGCTCACCCTGGGATTTTCCTGTTAGCAGATAGCACAGGCTTGTGGAATATTCGATCTGCAGGTGTGGCAGGGGTCTTTGGGAGCTAGGGTAACAAGAGTTGATGCTGGGGCCCTCCTAAAGAATCATCCCACTGCCAGGTCCTAATGGGTTACTCCTGAGGCCTTAGCCCTCAGGAGCTTCTCCAGGACCTAGGAAGTGGGGAAAGAACTCCAGAGAACAAGGTCTGTCTGTGGGATTGTTTTCTTGGGTTCCTGGCAAACACCTCGAAGCAGCACAAAACTTAGGCAGGTTACAAGAGGGTGCCCGGCTATCCCAGCGGGCCCCTCCCCCAGCGGCCTCCTCCCTGCCAAGACTCACACTTACCAAGCCAGCCCAAAACAGAAAGAACAGGAACAACCACATCTTATCCGTGCACTTCCTATAAATCTGGGGTCGCCATTCTCTTGGCCTGGGCGTTTCTTCTGCAGAAACCTTCCAGAAAAGAGAAGAGGAGGGCAAAAGAGGTTAAAAAGCCAGGCGGATTCCAAACCAGAAACCGAACCCTAAACCTGCCAGAAAATCTTTCACATATAACTTTTCTATTTTTTTTTTTTTTAACGTGAAGCTTTCGGAGCCCTTGAAGCACTTGCTGTGCGCAGCTTAAATTTTAAGTCTCCACCCGGCAAAAAATTACCTGGAGATGCACCTGCAGGCGGCCCTAAATTAGTGGCCCTCGGCCAGTGTCTCCCTCACCTCTGCTCCAACACCTGACCCAGGTGTCGCCAGGGCAAGGCGGCCCGGAAAAACGCACACAGAGAGGAAACAGCAGTATCTGGGCCGGGCAGGGGTGTGCAGGGAGGAGCCCACCCTTTCCCCCTCCTGTGTCCCCCGAAAGCCGCCGCTGTGGGACACTTACCCGGTACTCGGCGCCCAGGCACTGCATGGCGCGCTCGGCTGGGGCCTGGCAGCCGCGGGCACCGCCTGCCCTGCGTGGAGACTCGGCGGCCGCAGTGGGCGCACCGGACCCGGCCGGGCGAGAGGGGGCGGGCCGGGCGCAGCGCCGCCCCACGGCCACCTTTACGCGCGGCTCGGGAGGCGGCTGCGCCTTCGCCACCTGCACGGCCTCTGCAGCCCGCAGGGTCGGAGAAAGCCTGACAGGGAAGTCGGGACGGGGAGAAGTGTGGGACCCTACCCTCCGGCCTCAAGCACCTGCACGGCCGCGGCTCCGTCCATTTCCGCGACGCCATCGGGCAGCGCCGGGCAGAGCCGGCCCAGCGCGGGCCCTCGCTGGAGCTGAGCTGGAAGCAGGAAGAGCAAAGTCTCCCGGATGGCTCCTGCGGGCGGGGACCCAGACAGGTACATTCCGTACAGATGACAGGCAGGTGGCACTGGGCGTGTGCCCACCGCCTTCTGAGCGCTTCTAAACAGTCACCAAGGCAGACACCACTGCGACCCCTGAGGGAGGCGGGAACTGAGGCACAGGCAGGCTTTGAGCCGAGACTCTGTCCAGGAGGCCTCTCTGAAGCTCTTCTGCCCTCTCCACCAAGGAGGCCGCTGGCTCCCTCCCGGGTGGTGTACCCTGGGAGTTCTGGGAACCGCCACGAGGAGCGGGAAGACCACGGTGCACATGTGGGAAAGGGTGAGATGAAAGCATTGCCCAAGGCTCTCAGCTCTCACCATTGCCAACTGCGTCATTGAAACTGGGGCAAGCCCACGCTGCCACTGTGGGGCAGTCTTCAGGCGCAATGGGACTACAGCCAAAGAGCTGGGCATGCATGGGGGTAACTGCAGATCCCCCGGCTCCCCGTCCACTTTCACAGTCTGGGGCTCGGAACGCTCGAGGGACAGACGGTGGGTGGCTCTCAGGTTCCGCAGACAACCGGAGCTCTTCGCCACCCTCCGGAAGCGCATTTACCTGCGAGGATGGTCCAGGATCTGGGTGTCTGAGGAGTGTAACGACTATTACAGGACCCCAAGTGAACACACCATAGAAACGAAGAGAAGAACTGCGATTTTAAGCAGGTGTAATAAATACCTACACATTTAAGAAAACGAGGACTGGTGTTGGCAGGATGGACCAGGACAAAATATGAAACTAAAATAAATACAAATATTAGGGGTGAGTAGTGGACTGAATACAGTAGTCTGTTTATCTGTGCAGGGTATATCCCAAGACCCCATGGATGCTTGAAAATCTTCATTCCGAATCCCTTTTATACTATGTATTTTTTTTTAACCCTGGCTAAACACATACCTATGATAAAGTCAAGTTTGTAGATTAGCGTACAGTAAAAAAAATGAACAATAACTGATCAAACAGGTCATTGATAACAAGTTGCACATTGTCTCAACATGACTTCCATCCACAAATTGATTGTCTTCATCCTAGCTAAGCACTTACCCCGCCCACTGTGCCTGTCATTTCTGCAGACTGAGATCTGACAGCAAAACTACCACGACTCTTGTCTTGTTTCTGTCATCTGAGATGCACGGCTGCAGCACAGTGCCCTCGCAGTGCATGAGCATTTTCTTTCCTTACTGAGAACGTTCATTCTTTTTTTTTTCCACTCGAAGGAAGCAATCAATGGTTTCTCTTTGGAAAATCTGAATTGCCAGCATCCCATCTTGTGCTTTGGGGTGGTTTATGTAACGCTGGAGTTACGTGCAGGCCAGGACTGGGATACCCAGAAAGTAGATCTGATCACCGAGGTGGTTACTTAGGATTGCCCAGCCTGGATGTGTTGCACAGAGAGAAAATTCACCTCTTCAGGTGGCACAGACCTGACCACGTGCCTCAGAACAGAGAGCGATTTAGAAGTTATGAATTATTTAGTTCTGGAATTTTCCATATAATGTGTTTGGACTGTGTTGATAGTGAGGATTTAGCTTTTAGGCCATTGTTTTTTTTTTTTAAACCAGGATTATTAATAACACATTATGTGGTATTCATGAGAATGATCATAATGTGAGGAAACATAGGCATATTATTACATAATGATATAATTCAGTGAAGACAATATAACTATATACCATATAGTATGACCTCCATTTATTTTTTGCACTCAATATTAACTTTCACATACGAGAGAAGACATAATAATGAGCAATAAGCTTGAATCTATAATTTCTTTGCAAGATAATCACTGGAGTATAAGGATGTAATGAGAATATTTTATGAAATACTTGGATAACATTCTTGGAGAGACTAATCAAATAAGGAATACAGGGCCTGGCGGCGTGGCCTAGTGGCTAAAGTCCTTGCCCTGGATGCGCTGGGATCCAATATGGGTGCCGGTTCTAATCTGGCAACTCCACTTCCCATGCTTCTGGCCTGGGAAAACAGTCAAGGATGGCCAAAAGTCTTGGGACCCTGCACCCGTGTGGGAGACCCAGAAGAAGTTCCTGGATCCTGGCTTCGGACCGGCATAGCTTCGGCCGTTGTGCTCACTTGGGGAATGAACCATCGGTTTTCTTCCTCTCTGTCTCTCCTCCTCTCTGTATATCTCACTTTCCAATAAATAAATAAGTCTTTAAAAAAAATAAGGAAAACACATTCAGGTAACAATACAATATTTGTAATAAAAATGGAGAAACATTTAGGCCGAATGAGTTGTCATAGAAAGAAGATGAGGAACTTCAGTCATAGTTGCTCAAATGTCCAGAAATGGGTGAGCAGCTGCGTAACCTACAATAGGTTCATGCTGTTCCACTTGCAGAGGGAACCGCAGCAGCCTGGGGGTTTCGAAGGTGTGCTCGGTGACGGAAGTCAGCAAGGTGACGTTCTGGGGAAGGTGAGCGTATAGCACAGGTACATCTTAGTCAGTTCTTGGGTGCAGCTGACCCTATTTTTTAAAAAAGATTTATTTATCTTTATTGGAAAGGTGGATATACAGAGAGGAGGAGAGACAGAGAAGAAGATCACTCCCCAAGTGACCACAGTGGCCGGTGCCCCCATCCGGAGCCAGGAGCTCTTCCGGGTCTCCCACACGGGTGCAGAGTCCCAAGGCCTGGGCCATTCTCGACTGCTTTCCCAGTCCATAAGCACGGAGCTGGATGGGAAGCAGGGCTGCCAGGATTAAAACCGGCGACCGTATGAGATCCCAGTGGGTGCAAGGCGAGGACCTCAACCACTATACTTGCGCCAGGCCCAGACCCTATTTTCATTGAGACTTTTTGGATGAGTCGAGATGCAGATTAATTTCTATTCAGGCTCATATCTATCTGATGACAGGCTAGAACAAAGAGGAAAAATGAATAAAAGAAAGTGTAGTGATGAAAATGTCCACAATCTGATAACAGAAATAAAGTTTAGTAATTTACATTCCCAGAGCACTTACTGTATTTGGGATGCCCGTATGAGTGCTTCTTTTAAATGCTCACGATTCCCTTATGAGATGGATATACTCTTTATTTAAATTTCATTTTGACACAGTTTCATAGGCTTTGGGATCCCCCAACCCCTCCAAGAAGCCCTCCCCCCATACTGAATTCCTCGATATTGCTGCGGTATTACAGTTCTCTCCAGTCATTATTCCTCCATTGCAGACATGGACCATGTGGAAAATCCAGCATCTTATTGTCCAGATAAATCCAACAGTTTCATTGGGAGACCATCCCTGGTCTGAAAGTAGACTTGGCAGAATATCATCCCCTCCAATGAAAAGCCACAACACAACTTCAACAACAGGGAGAAACATGGAAATTTACAACATCATGAAGTTAATTGACATGGTATTGAGTGGCCAATATGTTAGAAAATGCAAGTTCTTAACCACATCCTTTGACTGCTTCATTGACATTTCAATTTTAGTTTATGCACATGGGCTGCTATACACTTTAAAATGGCTATAGGGAACTATTCAGCTGTCTCATGTCTATTTCCATTTTTATATTTAGCAGCTTGTAGTGTTCAAGCATGATTTCTTCTGAACTTCATGAATTTTAGGCTAGTCCAAACAGGCTTATAACTCAAACATGCCATATATTAACAACTGAGGAGCAGAACAGTTTTAGGAGGGGTATGCAGAGAAATTTTCGATACCTTAGTGAGGAATAACTAACCTTTGCGTCCTACCTAGTAAGGTATATGGGAGTCCAAGTTGACTGTTTCCTGTCTGTTCTAAGCTTTCTTTATTGGTCTCTGTCTATCTGGTCTATTTCTTTTTTTTGAGGAGGGGTGGCTCTGAAGTGACCCTGATGGTCATTGCAAGAGATGGTGGCGAGCCAAAGTTGGAACTAAGTAGGGGATGGATATACTCTTATTAGCATCATTGGTTTGTAAGTGAGGAGATTGAAGTTAAGTAACTTGCTAGAACATGGCAGAACTGAGACCTAAGCCCAGCAGTCTGTAGCAAGAGCCCACACTCCAAGCCACCATACCACACTGCCCCTAAACAGAGCAGCTGTTACAACAGAGGAGGATATGGGCCTCATCCATCCAGTGGAAGACCTGCATGGAACAAAGACCGGCTCTCTACCAGCAGAGTCCTTTTGCTAATGGCCTCCCAACAGGGACAAGTCGCACATGGGTTCTTGGTGCCACAGCCATTTCCTGTCCACAGCACTTGAACTTAGTGCTTTGTGCTTTTCTAGCAGCTTCTGGTCTGTGGACTTGGAGTAGAGCAACAATTCTGCAGATTTTGGCTTTGCCAACCTCGGTAACTGTGTGAGCCAGTTCTTCACATATAAAGCTCTTTAAATTCATGTACTTTTTTTTTTTCATTTTATTTGCAGGATTTTCTATCCACTGGCTCTCTCCCAAAATGCCCATGATAGCCCTGAGTGGCCCAGTTCAAATTCAGGAGCTCAGCATTCAACTTCAGTCTCCTATGCGGGTAAGTGACAGGGATCCAAGTAATGAGCCGTTATATACTTACTGCCTCCTAGGGAATGCATGAACAGAAAGCAGATTTGGAAGGGAACAGAGGAGCTGGGACTCACACC